ACTTCATTTTGTGTGCTATCACGCCATGGTCACATTTATCGAAAGCCTTTGCGAAGTCCGTGTATATCTCATCAGCATTCTGTTTTTCTTCTAATGCCTCAGTGACTTTGTCGTAGTGCTCAAGTAGCTGTGAGAGGCACGATCTTCCCGCTCGAAATCCATGTTGGCCTGGGTTGTTTAGGTCATTGGTCTCCATGAAATTGGTGACCTGACTCCTAATCACTCTCTCAAATACTTTTATGATGTGCGATGTTAGTGCAACTGGTCTATAATTTTTTGCCAATGCTTTGCTCCCTCCCTTGTGTAGAGGGGCTATGTCTGCTACTTTAAGTGCATCTGGTATCTCCCCCGTGTCCAAGCTCTTCCTCCACACTATACTGAGTGCCTGTGCTACCGGCACTTTGCATTTCTTTATAAATATTGAATTCCATGAGTCTGGACCTGGGGCCGAGTGCATGGGCATGTTTTCAATTTCTTTTTCAAAATTTAGTGCGCTCGTGTTTATATCAGTTATATTTACAGGGGTTTGAATATCCCGCATAAAGAAATTGTCTGGATCTTCCACCTTCATGTTGTTTATTGGAGTGCTAAACATGTCCTCATACTGCTTTTTTAGGATTTCACTAATTTCTTTGTCATCCTCCGTGTATGAACCTTCACTTGTGCGAATAGGTCCAATACTGGCAGTGGATTTTGCTTTTGATTTCGCATATGAGAAGAAATATTTTGGATTTTTCTTTATTTCCTGAATTGCTTTCTGTTCTAACTGCCTTTCTTCAGTTTCATATGAGTGTTTCAATTTCCGCTCGATTTCTTCAATCTCCCTATTTAAATTATTCCTTCTTTGACGGGAAATTCGTGTCTGCATAAGCAGTTCCGTTATTTTTTTCCTGCGTTTATAGTGTCGTCTGCGTTCTCTTTCTACGTTAGATCTCTTTCTGGCTTTCCTCAAAGGAACATGTTTCAGACAGACTTGATACGCTTCTGAAGTCAGTTTTTCTATTCCTTCTGTAGGACTTGTATTATTTAGAACAGTTCCCCATGGAATGTTTGTAAGTTCCCTGTTTATTATCTCCCAGTCTATCCTTTTATTATTAAAATTGAATTTACTGAATAGCCCCTCTCGCTTTATCAACGTTTTAGGTCTATTCTGAGTATTGATGATCGTTTGCACTTCAATGAGTTTGTGATCTGAGTATGTGGTATCTGATATCGTAATGTCTCTGATAATGTCTTCATTGTTCGTAAAGACCAGATCTAGAATATTTTCATTTCTCGTTGGCTCCGATATCTGCTGATTGAGTGAAAATTTGTCACAGAATCTAAGTAGTTCTCTAATCTGTGGTTGGTTAGGTCCTGATAGATTTCCTGGTATAATATTATTGTTTGCTATTTTCCACCTGAGACTAGGCAAGTTGAAGTCACCTAGGAAGATAATATCAGGTATCGGGTTCTCCAAATTATCAAGGCTATTCTCTATTTTGCTTATCTGTTCTGTGAATTCCTCAGCCGTTGCATCTGGCGGTTTGTATATTAGAATAATCACTAAATTTATTTTCTCTATTTTTAATCCCAGTACCTCTACCACCTCATTTGTAACGTTTAGGAGCTCCGAGCATACAAAGTCTTCCCTAAAATACAGACCCACTCCTCCATGTGACCTAATTTTCCTATCACACCTGTATAGGTTATATCCTGGAATCCAGATCTCACTGTCCAACAATTCCCCTGCATGAGTTTCTGTGAAAGCTCCAAATACTGCATTTGACTCCGTGAGGAGGCCATTTATGAACTGTACTTTGTTGTTTGTTCTTGTTTTCAGTCCTTGTATGTTGGCAAAGATGAATGAGGTTACTCTATTAGTGATAGTTTGAATGGGAGACTTTTTCGGCAAGTCCATTATGCGTGGACATAATGAGTTTGTTCTGACCAGTACTGATTGTTGTAGGGCAGTTTTCTGTCGTAGTTACATCATCCTTTTTGCAGAGCCAGTACACAGAGTGGTCACTGGGACCATTTCTCCTTGAATTGTTAGTCATGTTGGCACATTTCTTGTGTATGGCTGCTGAACAGAGTTGGCATTGAAAGCTCTGATGGTAATCTACCTTCATGTTGCATTCTATGCACGTTTTTATCAAAGCCATTTTTGGACACTTCTGTTCAGTGGTGATGGTCTTAAAAGGTCTTACAAGGTTGGGTGTTGACCGGTTGGGGGGTTGGCCGTGGGTGTTGGCCGTGGGTGTTGGCCGTGGGTGTTGGCCGTGGGTGTTGGCCGTGGGTGTTGGCCGTGGGTGTTGACCGCGGGTGTTGACCGTGGGTGTTTACCAACTTGAGACAGGCCTGGAGGAGGCTGTATGGACGGCCAGTGTTGTTACCACGTGTCGCACTCTTAATTTGTTTTGTTCACTTGTTAGATTACATTACTTGCATTTTCCCACTAGTTACCTTACATCGGAGGTGTCTAGTTTCTGTGTCTGGGCACTAGTTACCTGAGTACATTACACTATTTGAAAGAATACACACACAGAGGGTACTGGGGTGGGCCTACCTCCAAAGTGGCCCTTGTTTACATACACACGACGGACTTATTTTGTGTATAATTTGTTCACTTGATATTAAAATATGTTATCTTAATTTTTGTTATAATAGACACAGGTTTTGCATATAGGGCTTAGCACTATGGGCACTGATTACTTGATGTTTCAATAGCGAGAGATGTGATTTATTGATGACTTTATTGACGACGAATTTTTTAGCAGTCTCCGTGGTGTAGTGGTAAGACACTCGCCTGGCGTTCCGCGAGCGCTATGTCATGGGTTCGTATCCTGGCCGGGGAGGATTTACTGGGCGTAATTCCTTAACTGTAGCCTCTGTTTAACGCAACAGTAAAATGTGTACTTGGATGAAAAAACGATTCTTCGCGGCAGGGGATCGTATTCCAGGGACCATAGGATTAAGGACTTGCCCGAAACGCTACGCGTACTAGTGGCTGTACAAGAATGTAACAACTCTTGTATATATCTAAAAAAAAAAAAAAAATTATTGAAGACTTGGCAACTATCGCCTAAGGCCTCCTGGCACCACGAGGGCAGGCGTTGACTACACCTGTAATCACCTGTAATGACTACACCTGTAATGTACACCTTCAAACCTGTAACGAATTTCACTTATTTTTCCTTGAACACAAACGGTCGGATGGTAATCACTATGATATATACTGGTTAATATGTTGAGACCCACTTTAAAAGACACGCACCACACAGAGACTACAGGACGACCTGGACAAACTGGAGGAATGGTCAAGAAATTGGCTGCTAAATCTGGCCCCCAGGTTCGTAAGTGCTTGCGCAACTGCTTCGTGAATCTGGCCCCCAGGTTCGTAAGTAATTGTGTAACTGCTTCGTGAATCTGGCCCCCAGGTTCGTAAGTAATTGTGTAACTGCTTCGTGAATCTGGCCCCCAGGTTCGTAAGTGCTTGCGTAACAGCTTCGTGAATCTGGCCCCCAGGTTCGTAAGTACTTGCGTAACTGCTTCGTGAATCTGGCCCCCAGGTTCGTAAGTTCTTGTGTAACTGCTTCGTGAATCTGGCCCCCAGGTTCGTAAGTTCTTGTGTAACTGCTTCGTGAATTTGGCCCCCCAGGTTCGTAAGTGCTTGCGTAACAGCTTCGTGAACCCGGCCCCTGAACTTTAACTCTGGAAACTAGGTGAGTAGATCCAAAGATCAATGAGGACTGACGCATCTCAGTTAATAGGTCGCATTTTTCACGTTATGGTAACCAACGGTTCAAATACAACCTGCTATGACAAGTAACGGCTCACACATATTCACGTTTTCTATGCATCGGACTCGATAGGTTAGGTGGGTTGCTTGGGTTCGTACGTTCCTGATTAGGTTAGGGCACTGGATTTTGTTTTTATGTAGTAGCAAAAGAACGGCTGGTGAGACGAATGTGAGGTTGGAGATAGTAAGCAAGACGTTCATCTACGTTCAGACCTGTAATCCAATAAGACCTTCATCTACGTTCAACCTGTAATCTAATCCAACAAGACGTCTATTTACGTTCAAACCTGTAATCCGATAAGACGTTCATCTACGTTCAAACCAGTAATCTGACAAGACGTTCACCTACGTCAAACCTTTAATCCGACAAGACCTTTATCTACGTTCAAACCTGTAATTCAGCAAGATGTTCACCTACGTTCAAACCTGTAACCCAACAAGACGTTCATCTACGTCAAACCTGTAATTCAACAAGGCGTTCATCTACGTTCAAACCTGTAATCCAACAAGACGTTCATCTGCGTTCAAACCTGTAATCCAATAAGACGTTCATCTACGTTCAAACCTGTAATCTGACAAGACTTTCACCTACGTTCAAACCTGTAATCCATCTAAGAACCAAATTATCCACCTGCCACACTGACAGTCTCTCTTGGCACCTTAAACCACAACTGTTTTGAAACAAACGATTTCACATTAATTAATTAATTAATTAATTAATGAAGATTAAGCCACCCAAAAGGTGGCACGGGCATGAATAGCCCGTAAGTGGTGGCCCTTTGGAGCCATTACCAGTATCAATAGATGATACTGGAGATCTGTGGAGGTGCGACTGCACCCTGCGTGACGGGAGATGTCTCCCCAATAAAGCGATTTCACATATACAACGCTAGTTGTATATGTGAAAAACGCACATATACAACGCTAATTGTATATGTGTGTTTTGAGTAGCGGCACATCACCTCGAGAGGCTCATATACTAGCTTCTTCCGAGTTCTGGGCCTCTACCGCTATCACAAAGGTAACAGAAACGAGTCTTATGCACGATAACTGCTTCCCTTAACTAATTACCAACTATCTTATCTCCCCCTAACTGCTCTATACGTGGAATACACTACTAAATTCTTAGGAAATAGCTAGTATACCTTACAGAAGAAGTGGTGGATACTAAAACAGAAGATAGAGTAAATGATATTGACATATCACGTTAAATACTCACACGTTGCTGGGCGAGAGGCTGGACCTCTCAGATGGTTAGGCTTGATGATCGTAGTTGTCAACGATGAGGTTCTCATGTTGGGTGATGAGTCCTCACATGAGGCTTCGTCTGGCTGACGTATGATAACCGCAAATCTGAAACGAGGAGGGGAGAGGGAATATTTTATGTGTTTCATTCATTTAAAGACAAGTAGTTTTGAGTCACAATAACGTGGCTAAATTATGTTGACCAGACCACACACTAGAAGGTGAAGCGACGACGACGTTTCGACGGTCCGTCCTGGACCATTCTCAAGTCGATCCAGGTCTCAAGTTACTCGGGAGGATAGCAGCATCAGCAGAGAACAGATCAGACAGAGAGCCTGGACGATTGAACAACAGCCAGTTCAGGCTGTATCCCCCCGCAAGCACAACTAGGTGAATACACACAGGAAGCAGCCCGTAACAGCTGTCTAACTCCCAGGTGCCTATTTACTGCTACATAACAGGGGGCATCAGGGCGAAAGAAACTCTGCCCATTTTGTTTCTGCCATCACCGGGGATTGAGCCCGGACCCTAGGATTTCGAGTCCAAAGCGCCGTTCACTCAGCTATCAGGCCCCTATGTGTGAGGGAGGAAGTGAGGGAGCGCGTATGTGTCCATTCCGTGGTCCGTGGTGAGGTGGTGGTAACACTGCCCCCCCCCCCCCCCGCGCCTCGCCAGCAATTTCGTTTAATAAGTCGAGTCCTGGATAGAGAGGATTCTGTTTTTTCTTGGGGATGGATGGAGAAGGTTTTGGGGATAGGTGGAGGGAGGGAGGCATGGGGGGGATAGGAGGTCTTGGGGAATGGGTGGAAGGAGGAAGGCATAGGGAGGTTGGATAGGAGGGCGGCTTGGGGGATGGGATGAGGGATTAGGTGGAGGGATGAGGGCTTGGGAAGGTGGACTTGGGGATGGTTGGAAGGAGGAGGGCTTGGCCATGGGGGCCTGACAGCTGAGTGGACAGCGCTGCGGATTCGTAGTTCTGAGATTCCGGGTTCGATCCCCGGTGGAGGCGAAAACAAATGAGCAGAATTTTTTCACCCCTTGATGCCCCCTGTTCACCTAGCCGTAAATAGGTACCTGGGAGTTAGACAGCTGCTACGGGCTGCTGCTTCCTAGGGATGTGTAACAAAAAGGAGGCCTGGTCGAGGACCGGGCCGCGAGGACGCTAAGCCCCGAAATCACCTCGAGATAACACCCAAGAAGGTGGAGGGCTTGGCAATAGGAGCCGGTCGGCCGAGCGAACAGCACGCTGGACTTGTGATCCTGTGGTCCTGGGTTCGATCCCAGGCGCCGGCGAGGAACAATGGGCAGAATTTGTTTCACCCTATGCCCCTGTTACCTAGCAGTAAAATAGGTACCTGGGTGTTAGTCAGCTGTCACGGGCTGCTTCCTGGAGGTGGAGGCCTGGTCGAGGACCGGGCCGCGGGGACACTAAAGCCCCGAAATCATCTCAAGATAGGTGAAGGAAGGTGAGGTACAAGCGTGAAGGGCGGATATTAGCTGGAAAAAGTTAGCGCGGTATTACCCAACAACCGCTCATTATAACACACTGTCATTACCTCCTGTTTTTCCCCTCCCCTTGCCTCACTTCGCTCCACGGCCAAACTGGCTAGTCCTTCTACTTGCAACTTTTAATAACCCGACCCCTGTAATCACCGCGAACAAACACTTACGGCCGAATTGCATTGCGGACGCCGCCCCAACACCCACATTTCAACAGCCCAGGCGAGGACACGCTTTCCCTTTGCTCAAGTAGGATCTAAAAACCTGTACCGCTATCACCATTGTAACGTCACATACTGACGTTACATATCCCCATCACTGTATATATATATATACATATATATATACATATATATATATATATATATATATATATATATATATATATATATATATATATATATATATATATATATAAATCAACATTTTATATGCAGGCGAGGAGTCACAATAACGTGGCTGAAAAATGTTGACCAAACCACACACTAGAAAGTGAAGGGACGACGACATTTCGGTCCGTCCTGGACCATTCTCAAGTCGAATGTGTCGATCTCAAGTCACAATCGACTTGAGAATGGTCCAGGACGGACCGAAACGTCGTCGTCCCTTCACTTTCTAGTGTGTGCTTTGGTCAACAACATTTTATATCTCTTTATTTTGGTTTGGTTAGGCTGGGTTAGGATACAATTGGATAGGTTTAGTTTGATAAGGTTAGGTTAGATTAGATTTGTTAATCATAGGTTTGTTTATCAAGAAAGAATGACGTAGAAGCATACTATAAAACCATCTTGCCTCTGGCCTCATTGTTTTTACCGCTGTAATTAAAATATAAAAATTACTCCCCTCTCGGTAGCCTATTAACTCCTTCGGATTAAACCAAAAAATAGACATCAATTTCGTTTTTCATTAGAGCGATATCAGCAGTGAAAAATCAGAATTGATGTAGATTATCAGTTGTTTCCGCCCTTTTATATTTGTTAATTAATACCTTTGTGCTTCTGCCATCAACATATAGATGGCGTTAGTGGCGACGTAGAGCGTCGCTTGCTATAACAAATCTTGTGTATTATAGACTAAATCTCCGGCCATTAAAACCTCATTTTTCTAAAATGTGACATGAGGGTTATTATCGGCAGAAATGTGGGTAATTTACACACAAATCGACTTGAGAATGGTCCAGGACGGACCGAAACGTCGTCGTCCCTTCACCTTCTAGTGTATGGTCTGGTCAACATACTTCAGCCACGTAAATTGTGATTCATCGCCTGCACGTGGTTAATTTAGTTGTTTTACGTTTCATATATTTACTTATTGACATTTGTGTAGGTGTACTCTGAAAGCATAGGTGGCGTTAGTGATGGGTTACAGCAACGTTAAATCTGTAGCCGCGTCATAAGCGGATACAAAAGACTCGATTTTAAAATTTACGTGGAATTCAAATGGACAAATGTTCAATCCCTTTGGCTGTGCTTGTTGGCGCCGCTGTAATGCCTTTAGTGACGAGGTTCGAACAATGTTATTCACACATCCTGATTATCAAGAACCAATTACACTCAGAATGGTAGCTGGTTTCTTAGTAACTCTTGAGTACCATCGTACATATATATTGACGAAATGGACAACTAGATTGTCGAATTTGGTATTATTCCTTTTTTAGATTGAATAATATCCAGAAAAAATAGAGCTAAGTACCAAACTTAAATATTCCTAGGGCTAGGATAGCGCATATATGTACAATATTAGGCTACATATAGCGTATATTAGGCTATATGAATTGTTAGGTTAAGTTCTATTAGCAACAAACACAAAGCCTCTTCCGATTTGTTCAAATCCAATAGTACCAATTTCTACTATTTATCCATTACGTCAATATATATAATACGATATTTTACATCGTTAAGTACTGTGTGAACAGCGGGATGGGCTGATATTTTTACAAAAAAATATAATTAAACTACATACCATGTCCTGGCCCAAATACCCATCAGCGAGACACGAGATAATGAACAAGTATCGCTTCTAAACTAATCTTACTTAAGCCAACCCAATCCAATCTAACCTAGCGAAAATATGAGATAGAAAATGTGTAGACGAGGTACTGTGTGTGTGTGTGTTTTCACTAAAGGTTTTAGACCTGTCCGCACGCAGATGCGTCGGAGGGCTGATGGCCGCATTCCCAACCCCTCTCAGGCCTTCTGCCATAAACCTTTGACTATTAGAAACTCGTTTGAAATACAAGACAATGGTTAAACTCAAAATGGAGGCTGATTTAACTACGCAGTAAGCGCTCACTTGCCCGCCGTCCCTACCGCCCCGCCGTCCATATAATATATATAAGAGAATACTTACTTTAAATCTCTGGTTGTTAAAACTTTATTGAGACACTTAGGATAATCTTGCGAGGTGATGAACGGAGGATAGTTGGTGTACGTAAGAGGTGCGTGACATGACAGGTGTCTCTACAAGTGACATGTCAGGTGTCTCTACAAGTGACATGTCAGGTGTCTCTACAAGTGACATGACAAGTGTCTCTACATGTGACATGAGTGACATTGACAGGTGTGTCTACAGGTGACATGACAGGTGTCTACATGTGACATGACAGGTGTTCTCCGTGCGACATAACATAGGAGTTACACTTGCAGGGTGAGTAACGTAACACCCCCCACGGTAACCACCACCCCACAAACAACACACAAACACTACCACCACCACCCACAAACAACACACACAATTACCCCACAAACCACACACACACCAGCACCCCACAAACACACAAACCAGCACCCACCAACACAACACCAACCACAGGTCTCTGCCGTGCCGGGCTCCATGTGAAGAGGGATGCCCACTTGGCCCTACACTTGACCATTGGTAATCAATAGCCTCCAGTACCGTGGTTCGACACTGTCACCCTCCAACTGGGTGGGTGACAAAGGCCGTGGATGTTACCCCCATAATACACGTTATAATAATATATGACATTATGTAATTTAATGTGGTAAGGACAAGAGTAAATTGTATATCTCATCTCATACTGTAACAAAACGCTCATCAAATTATCTAAAAAGATAAAAGTATCTCTCTCAAGTTTTACACAATTTAGACTAATTACTAATTTTTAATTCTTGATAATTCTAATTACCAAGAAGCCTTTTGGCTTATTGAGGTTTTCTTAGGTCAACCACTGACCTTCCCCCACAACAGTTGTCTAATTCCCAGGTACCTATTGTATTGCTAGGTGAACAATCGCATCAGGTGAAAGGAAACGTGCCCAACGGTTTCTGCTCTGCCCGGGGATGAAACCAGAGTCCCTCGCTTGTCAGCTTAGAAAGTAGACCAGTAATAAAATTTAATTCCTAAAACTTCTCTAGAATAAAATCAAACTACATAAAATAACATCAAATAAAATACTTACAATCTTCGTATTTTAAATATAAGTATTATGTTTATAATTATCACTAAATTTAAATGATGAAAACTACTGAAAACACCCTAACTTGTCACATCATCTAAAGTAAGTAACTATCAAAAGAAGGCACCAAGCTAGGTAATCTCTGTAGCACCATCAGTGTCACTGGGTATTCCCAAGGCGCTAAATATCACTG